TTCCAGGAATCAGGACATCTTTTGTTGTCTTCTGTTTGTTGGGTTATAATCATTTCCTAACCAATAAGATCGTCTGCATTTCTTTTCCCTTTATGAGACTGATGCTCTGATAAGGCTTCTTCTTCATTTCCCTTTATTTTTAGTTTTTTATTTTATTGTGGTACTCACATTTGAACTTAGGGCCTTATGATTGATAGTTAGGCACTCTGCCATTTGAGCTATTTACACCCAGTCAGTCCTTTTTTGCTTTATTTTTTCAGGTAAAATCTTGGGTTTTGCCACGGCCAGCCTCAGACTGCAATCTTCCTATCTAGGGCCTTCAGCATTGCTAGGACCACAGGCATCTACATTTGGCTTATTGATTAAGATTGGGTCTCACTAATTTTTACCCAGATTGACCTTGAATCACAGTACTCCTGATCTCATGCTCCTGAGCAGATATGATTAGAGGCATAAGTCATTTAACTAAATGGCTTCTTAAATTTAATCATTTAGCCAAGCATAAGTGGCTCATACCTGTAATCGTAGCTACCCAGGAGGCTGAGATCTGAAAATAGTGGTTCCAAGCTAGCCTGGACAGGAAAATAAGTGAGACTCTTATCTCCGATTAACCACCAAAAAAAAAAAAGCTAGACACGGACATGTATCTCAAGTGGTACAGTACTAGCTTTACACAAAGTAACTCAAGGAGGGGGAAGGTGGCTCAGTGGTAGAGCACTTGCCTTGCATGCCTGAGGCCCTGGGTTCAATTCCTCAGCACCACATAAGCAAAAAGAAAAAAGCTGGAAGTGGTGCTGTGGCTCAAGTGGTAGAGCGCTAGCCTTGAGCTGAAGAGCTGAGGGACAGCGCCCAGGCCCAGAGTTCAGGCCCCAGGACCGGACCCAAAAAAAAAGTAACTCAAGGACAGTGCCAGATCTTGAGTTCAAGTCCCAGGACTAGCATACACACAAAAAATAATTTATGTGGGCAAATATCGAGCTATAATATTGGACAATCTTATTACTTAATAGCCACAATTCATTTAGTGGCTAGTACTTAATCCTTCAAAGTTTTGCAATGACCATTCCCACAATAACCACTTTTTTTCTTTTTCCCAGTACTTGGGGTTTGATCTCAGAGCTTCATGTTTGCTAGGTAGGCACATGCCTCTAGCCCTACCTTTTAATTATCAATTCTCTAGACAGACTTTTCTACATGGAACCTAATGTGCTTCAAGGAAATGGTTTAAACAGTGGTAGGTCAAATAGGATGTTACTTCACATCACAGACAGGACCCAAAACATAATCATTCTGCTTCTCATATACTCTCACTCTAATAGAAATATTAAACTATTTAACTTATATATCAATTACCACATTGTTTAAAAGTTAAAAATCTAGTCAATGTTACTTCTAGGACCGTATCTTAGGGCTATGTATTTAAAAACCCATGAAGGCCGGGTGCTGCTGGCTCCTAGCTACTCAGGAGGCTAAGATCTGAGGATCATGGTTCAAAGCCAGCCTAGGCAGGAAAATCTGTGAGACTCTTATCTCCAATAAGCCACCAGAAAACCGGAAGTAGTGCAGTGGTTCAAGTGGTAGAGCACTTGCCTTGAGCTGAAGAGCTGAGGGACAGCATTCAGGTCCAGGGTTCAAGCCCCACAACCACCACCACCAACAACATAAAAAGAAAACCCAAACAACAACAACAACAAAAAACACCATTAAGATGCATGTTCAAATATGCTTAACCAAAACAATATACAAAGAACAATCATTTAAAAAAATGATGTATAACTATAAATTCTAATATAAAAAGATATGCAAGATAACACTAACTACAAACATCAAATTGCAATCCAGGTGCCAGGGGCTCATACATATAATCCTAGCTACTCAGGAGGCTGAGATCTGAGAATCATGGTTCAAAGCCAGCCCAAGCAGGAAAGTCCACAAGACTATAGTCTTCAACTGATCACCAAAGAAGTCAGAAGTGAAGCTGTGGCTCCAGTGGCAGAACACTAACTTTGAGCAAAAGAAGCTTAGGGACAGCACCCAGGACCAGCACACACACACACACACACACACACACACACACACAAAAGTAAGGGGAAAAAAATAATAACCTTCTTTATAGTTTGAATTTATAAGTTTGTATATTACTTTCATAATGAAAAAGCAAGTTTAAAATTTTCATTTGGCTGAAAGGATCAATACTAAACATGCAATTTTGTAAAGCAAAGTGAATGTTTTATCACTGTACCAATTCTTAACAATTCTATAACATTAGCCCAAAAATGTTCAGCGGAGATCTAGAGAAAGCCTAAGATATTTATGGCTGGGAGCATAGCTTAAATGGTAGAGCACTTGCCTACCATACTCAAGGTCCTGGTTCAATACCAAGTACAGACAGAAAAATAGATAGATACCATAGATACCCTTATATGTATGTGTGTGCGCATATGTATATATTGGTATGTGTCCTAAGATAGTTTCTGGAAATTTAAAGTTCTGTAATCACAATGCTATATAAACTCATTTCTATAAATGTGAAGACTATTTTTAGGAACATTTTAATATATAATTTCATTATTTTTGCTTATGTGGTAATAAGGAAACGAACCCAGGGTCTCATGCATGCTAGGCAAGCACTCTACACCAAGACACATTCCCAGCCCCAACTACTTTTTTTTTTTGGTCAGTTGTAAAGCCTGAACTGAGGGACTAGATGCTGTCCCTAAGCAATTTTGCTCAAGGTTAGTGCTCTACCACTTTGAGCCACAGTACCACTTCCAGTTTTCTAGTGGTTACTTGGAGATAGGAGTCTCATAGACTTCTGCCTGAGCTAAATTTGAACTGTGATCCTCAGATCTCAGCCTCCTGAATGGCTAGGATGACAAGCATGAGCCTGGCTGAAGACTTTTGTCTAGGAGAAAATAGAAAGTGTAACTTATAGTCAATAGAATTCTATACAACACTTTCAGTACATAAGAATCACTGACTCAACAATTTGGAAGAGACCTTAAAAGTTACCTGATCTAACCTTTCTAATCTGCCATTTAGCTGGAATGAGTGGGGAAAACCATATCTAATAGCAGCCTGCTAATGAGAGGCAGGCCCATTCCACCTAAGCTAAGCAGCAGTTCCAGGAACATAATACAACTAGAAATGACTCTTCAAAATGAGGGCACCTAATAATCACCCACTAAATAAGCATTGAGGTCTAACATGTCAAGTTCCCTGAGTTAATTTTAAATAAGCTATTGACTAAATTTTCTGGTTCCAAGGTTTCCAAGTGTTTCAAACCAAAAGAAATTAGACCATGTTGCAGGTTGATTTTAATGAACAAAAATCTTCATGTAAAAAACATTTAAACTTTATCAAATGTTTTAAAAAACATACACACACAAATCCAAATCCAATACAGACAGAATTGTTTAACATCATTTTTGTTCACCTAAGCACATCTGTAAAGAGATTTTTGGATAAAACTTTGCATGTTGATAAAGAAGATCAGTGAGGCTCCACATTTGTTTACATACCCCCACACACAATCTTTTATAAGGAATTACTAATATATGGTTAAAAGTATGAAGGGAGAGGAATGAATCCCTTATAAGGCTTACATAAAAGAACACTATATAAGTAAAAGAACTTCCTATTCCAAGTGAAAATGCAGAGAAGAAAGGATAGTTTCCAAACTCAGTTATAAATAAATAATTTATGAATGTCACTCAAGAACAATGAATTTGGGAGTTATATGTAATTCCAAGTTTTTGTCATCTCAAATTTTGTGATTCTGATAAGTGATAACCAGGCGCTGGTGGCTCACACCTAGAATCCTAGCTACTCAGGAGGCTGAGATCTGAGAATTATAGTTCAAAGCCAGCCCAGGCAGGAAAGCTCATGAAACTGTTAACTCCAATTAACCAGCAAAATTTGGCAGTGGAGTTGTGGCTCAATTGGTAGATTGATAGCTTTGAGCAAAAAAGCTATGGGACAGTGACTGGGACTGTAGATTAAGCCCCAGGAGTACACACGTGTGTACACACACACACACACACACACACACACACACACACACGATTTTGCAGGTCTTTTGATTATCATTATTTAAGTGTGGTTTGTCTCTTTTACTTCCTCAGTCCAGTTCCCCTAAAAAGCCACAATATTAAACTATGGTGAGCACAGGCTAAAAAGAATAGCGTGGAGTCGGGTGCCGGTGGCTCACACCTGTAATCCTAGCTACTCAGGAGGCTGAGATAGATCTAAGGATCATGGTTCAAAGCCAGCCGGGCAGGAAAGTTCATGAGACTCTTATCTCCAATTAACCACCAGAAAACCGGAAGTGGTGCTGTGGCTCAAGTGGTAGAGCACTCGCCTTGAGCTGAAGAGTGCAGGGACAGCGCCCAAGCCCAGAGTTCAAGCCCCATGACTGACAAAAGAAAAAAGAAAAAAAAAATATAGTGGTGATATTGGAATAATAAGGGCCAGAAAGCCTGGGTTTAGATCTCCACATCACTACTTGCGAGCTATTAGCTAAGCTACCGCCACCATGTGTCTTTCTCATCATTGTTAGGGATCACCAGTGTCTCCTCCATATAGTTTTTTGTTGTTGTTGTTTTTCTTTTTTTTTTTAAAGATTAAAAGATAAACCATTTAGAGAATGTATTACACATCCCGGCTCAATTAATGTTAGGCCAAATTCCTATTAGTTGTAGCATTACAGCTAAACTGAAAGAAGTCAATACATATATTTCACTGTTGATAAAGTTGTCGGAGACCAAATGTGGTAGAGAAAAAGAGAGATGACAATATGTTCAATGTAAAAGATATTGAAGACCTAGTCTTATGAACATAGATATTTACTTTTATGTTAGAAAAGAATTACAGATAGTGGCCCTAGTGGCTCATACCTGTAATCCTAGCTACTTAGTAGGCTGAGAACTGAGAATCACGGTTCAAAGCCAGCTCAGGCATAAAAGTCCATGAGACTATTATCTCCAATCTCCAATCTCGAGCAAAAAAGCTAAGGGACAGTGTCCAGGCCCTGAGTTCAAGCCCCAGTATGGGTTAAAGAAAACAAAAATTACATGGCTCCATATCACGAATTCAACATCTTTCCATCAAACGTCACAATTCTCATCATCACTATTCCCTACATACACCTTAAATAATGTTCCTACTGACTCAACAGCAGGGGCCAGAACTGCAACTAAAAACTTGCTAGAGAGTTGCATATTGGGCAGTAATCTGTGCTTAGGCCAACTAGTGCTTAGGCCAACTGAGAACCTGCCTCCAACGTTTGCATTCCTCCCTCCTTGCCATGGTTAGTTAGATGAGCCAGGTTCCTGAAGACCTTCAATCTCCATATCTCCTTCAAGAGGGGTAGTTTTCAAGAGGGGAAGGTGAAGGAAGCAGCAGACACTGACCGTGGAATGCTCCACACCTACTTCAGTATGATATGATAGCTATCATTGGTTTCTGCTGTAAAAAGAGAGAGACATACTCTTTAGTCATCTGTAAAACATAATAGGACAAAACCAAAACTATCATAAGGTTCTTGGTGAGAAGGAACAGAGTCAGAACAGGACAAAGGGCAGCATACTTATTAACATAGAATATTGGCACACATGATTCCCAGCTTACAAGCACTCTAATTTTCTGACTTTACAATGATGCAAGAGCCATACATATTCATTAGAAACTGTACTTTAAATTTCGAACCCTTCTTGAGTTCAAAATACATGCAATATGATAGTCTTTTATGGTGCTGGCCACTGGCAGTCAACTACATTTTGAAATTAGCCACAAGATCACCAGGGTAAAATGCTGATAATCTACTATGTACTGTGTTGCAGTAATGAGTGATAGTCTGCATTTTTAAAAATATTTTTCAATTTATATTGAGTTTATCAGGATATTGAGCTCACCATAAAACAAGGGGCATCTATAATAAATATGTATTACAAAAACAACATGGTTTGGGTTTTTTTTGGGGGGGAGGTGGGAGAATTAGTCATGGGACTTCAACTCTGGTCTGGGCACTGTCCCTGAGCTCTTTTTGCTCAAAGCTATTACTCTACCACTTTAAGCCACAGTGCCACTTGCTGTTTTTTGGTAGTTAGATGGAAACAAGAGTCTCACAGACTTTTCTGCTCAGATCTCAGCCACCTGAGTAGCTTGGATTACAGGCATGAACCACTAGTTCCTGGCTAAAAACTATATATATATATTTTTTTTTTAAATTTTTTTTTGTCGTTCATGGGGCTTGAACTCGGCCTGAGTGCTGTCCCTCAGCTCTTCAGCTCAAGACCAGTGCTCTACCACTTGAGATACAGTGCCACTTCTGGTTTTCTGGTGGTTTATTGGAGATAAGAGTCTCACAGACTGATCCTCAGATCTCAGCCTCCTGAGTAGCTAGGATTACAGGCATGAGCTACTGGCACCCTGCTTAAAAACAACATTTTTATTTCTTTATTTGCCAATGGAAGATAGAATGATTATATCATCAAATATACTTTGTCTACTTTGACAATAGCAAAAACCAAATCATATAAGGAACAATCTCCAATAATGTGACTTTCTCTATTGCACATATGGTTGCTACCCTACTTTTTCCTCTGAAAGAAGTAAAATATGTTGCTGAGATTATAGGTAACACATCTGTAATCACAGCACTCAGGAGGTTGAGGCAGGAGGATTGTGAGTTCAAGGGCATATAAGATATGAAAAGACCATGTTTTGTTTTTGGTGCTATGAGGTGGAACCCAGGGCTGTAGCATACACTGTATCATTGAGCTATAACCCCAGCCTGAAAGAAAGTTTTAAGCAATTTAGAAAACGATATTTGTCTTATAACTGTTTTATTACCTTTCATTGTGTCCAAAATAAAACAGGCTTCTTCCTGAAAGTTCTGTATCATCTGAAAAAAAGCACGAAAATTTCTGATTATTTAAACCTTTCAATTTTCTGTATTTGATTATGAGGCTTAAAAAATTATATTAGCTTTAAATAGGAAACAATCTCTTTCTATTTCTGTATTTCTAAGGACAACCTTACATCCACAGGGGTTTATATGAGGGCCTTTATAGATCACAAATAGAGTACATCATTAATTTCTATTAATCATGTATTTTCCTTCTACTTCTCAAAAGGCTTATCTTAAAATTAAAAAAGTAGAATATGGAGCTAGGCACCAGTGGCTCATGCCTGTAATCCTAGCTACTCAGGAGGCTGAGAACTAAGGATCGCAGTTCAAAGCTAGCCCAGGCAGGAAAGTCCGCGAGACTCCTATCTCCAATAAACCAACAGAAAACCAGAAGTGGCGCTGTGGCTCAAATGGTAGAGTGCTCATCTTGAGCTGAAGAGCTCAGAGACAGCACCCAGGCCCAGAGTTCAAGCCCCATGAACAACAACAACAAAAAAGTAAAATATGGGTTAATGCCATATGCCAATACTTTTAAAATTTCTCTTCCCCATTTTCTCTTCTAAAATTTTCATAACATGTCTTATAAAATAAAAGCATAAGTTTCTCTCTTCTAGAATCTTACCAAGGGGTAAAGAGATAGCTCAGAGGTAGAGAGCTTGCTTAGCATATATATAAGGCCTCAAGTTCACAGTTCAGCACTGTCAAAAGGGGTGCCACACCTCTACCTGAGGTGTGAAAGCCTCAGTACCAAAGTGGAACCACAATGGTGAACTCTAATATCAGAATAACCAACCCTTGTATAAATCACTTGGCTTCCAACTGAAGAGTGATCAAATTGTCAATAGAGAGGACTCAAAATAATTTTGGGGCCAGGGGATGGTGGCTTATGTCTGTAATTCTAGCTACTCAGGAGGCTGAGATCTGAGGGTTTGAGTTCAAAGCCAGTCAGGGCAGGAAAATCTGTGGGACTCTTAACTCCAACTAACCATCAGAAAATCGGAAGTGGCACTGTGGCTCAAAGTGGTAGAGCACTAACTTTAAGCTAAAGAAGCTCAGAGACAGCTCCTGGGCCCTGAGTTCAAACCTAGGACTGGCACACTCTCTCTCTCTATATATACACACACACACACACACACACACACACACACACACACACACACACACACACACACACACACACACACACACACACACACACACACACATATATAAGTATACTGTATATATATATATAACATGTATGGACAATATAGGTATATATGTATGATGATTTCTGGTAACACCACTGTGCAATTCTTAGGATATAGCTCAGAAGTTTAAAAAGAATTCCGATGCAGTTATAACACAACTCTACCCATTCCTATGAAGTTAGGTCAATTAGGTTCCACAGCACTTAATCTAGGGGAAAACCAGGATGGAATTGATGCTGAACTCTGTCATTTTTACAATAGGCAGTAGTTGATGACAGACAATTCATCATGTGTTAGGGTATGGGAAGTAAATGAAATAATCAATCTCATTAGCAGATGCATGTCTAATTCTTTTTTCTTTTGTAAGTGTTGAAGACTGAACCGAGGGCCTTATGCATGCCAAGCATTTACTCTACCACTAATCTAACCCTATTGCCTTTTCTTGATGCTTAATAATTACTTAGTAAAACATATTAATGTTTAGTAATTAGTTCTTAAAACATGTAATATACTTGTTATTTTTAATCAGTTGCATAACTATGGTGATACTCTATTAATAAATAGAATTTCAATTTGGAGGGTTTATATTTTCTTTTAACCTACATCAATTAGTTGTATAACATTTACTCATTTATTTTTCTTTTCAAATTGTTAATTTTTTGTTCCTTTTAAAAAATTTAGCATTAGGGCTGGGAAGATGGCTTAGTGGTAGAGTGCTTGCCTTGCATGCCTGAGGCCCTGGGTTTGATTCCTCAGCACCACATAAGCAAAAAAGGAAAAAAGCTGGAAGTGGTGCTGTGGCTCAAGTGGTAGAGCGCTAGCCTTGAGCTGAAGAGCTGAGGGACAGTGCCCAGGCCCAGAGTTCAGGCCCTAGGACTGGACCCCCCCACAAAAAAAAATTAGCATTAATTAGTTGTATTAAGGGGTTTTCATTTAACATATCCATTTATGTATACAATGCATGTAGAGTTATTCCCTCTATCTTTCTCCCAGCTTTTCAACTTTTGTTTTTGTGGGGGGAGGGTGGATGCCAGTCCTGGAGCTTGAACTCAGGGTCGGGCACTGTCCCTCTGTCTGTGAGCTTCTTCACTCAAGGCTAGCATTCTACCACTTGAGACACAGCTCCATTTCTAGCTTTTTGGTGGTTATTTGGGGATGAGAGTCTTATGGACCTTCTGCCAGGGCTGGCTTCAAACCACAGTCCTCAGATCTCAGCTTTCTTAAATAGCCAGGATTATAGGCAGAAGCCACTGGCACCTGACACCTGGCTCCACTTTTCAACATTTACTGAAACAAACTCTTTGGTTGAAACAAATTTTTCTTTCAAAGAAATATGGCAATACCACAGAAGTGGTTAACACCTATAATCTTAGTTACTTAGGAGGTAGAAATTAGGAGGATTGAGGTTCAAGACCAGGCTGCACAAAAAGTTTGTGAGACTTCCATCTCAACCAATAATTAGAGGCAGTTGCATGTATGTATTATCCTAGCTATATGGGAAGTTGAGATCAAGAGAATTACAGTTCCAGATTAGCCTGGGTAAAAAATTTGTTATACCCTCCTGCCCCCTGCCATTTCAGTATGGTAAATGCCTGCCAACCCAGCTACTGTAAGAAGTATAAGTAGGAGGACTACAGTCCAGAACAGTCCAAGCAAAAAGTGAGACTATATAGTAGAATAATCAACAAAAGCTGTAAAGCATAAAAATGTTGCGTTAGCACAGAAATCTATGAGAGTCAGGAATGTTGATGCATACTTATTTTAGCACTCAGGAGGCTTAGGCAAAAAGATCATGAGTTCAAGGTTAGTCTGGACTACACAATGAGACCTGTGTTAACAAAACAAAACAAAAACAGAACAAAACTACTCTGTAAAAGAAGTGAATGAAAATCTGAGTTGAGGGAAACAAAGGAATGACACAGAAACTCTTAACTCATAAAAAGCATAATCACGTACTTTTTAAAATGGATGATGTTAAATCATCCATTAAATCATTCTTGTAATTTTGGTCCCAGTACTGGAAAAAAAAAAATCACTCTTTTATTTGGGTTACATAGAATGGAATTAGAATAGTGATAAAACAATCTTGTTTCTAAATGTCACATTTGCCCAGAAATGACGTCTTTAAACTTTTCCCACAAATGAACAATCGTTTACAACTATTGAAACCTAAACAATATGAAATCAACTTAAATATGGGCAAGAGGATATACATAGTTTCTAAAAATTAGTTTAGGAGGTAAGCAAGCAAAAACATCTGAGCTAGGCACAACAGAACATGCCTACACTCCCAGCTATTCATGAGACTGAGGCAGGTAGATCACTTGAGCCCAGAAATTCAGCACCAGTCTGGGCAGAATAGCAAGAGCCTATCTCTTAAAAATAAATAAAAATTTAAATAAATAAATATGAATTTAAAAAAGAACTGAAAGTTGGGTGTCAGTGGCTCACACTGCTGAGGAGTGAGCTGCTCAGGAGGCTGAGATCTTAGGACTGTGTTTCCAAGGCATTAAAATCCATGAGATTCATTTCCAGTTAACCACCAAAAAGCTGGAAGTGGGGCTGTTATTCAAGTGGTAGAGCACCAGCCTTGCACAAAAAAACTAAGAGATAGCACCCAGGCCTTGAGTTCAAGCCCTAGTACTGGCACACACAAAAAAGTCTGAAACCTCTGGTTTAGAAAATAGAGCTCTAGGGGCTGGGAATGTGGCTTAGTGGTAGAGTGCTTGCGTAGCATGCATGAAGCCCTGGGTTCAATTCCTCAGTACCACATACACAGAAAAGGCCAGAAGTAGCACTGTGGCTCAAGTGGTAGAGTGCTAGCCTTGGGCAAAAGAAGCTAAGGTACAGTGCCCAGGCCCTGATTTCAAGCCTCAGCACTCGCAAAAAAAAAAAAAGAAAAGAAAAGGAGAGAGAGAGAGAGAAAGAGAGAGAGAAAAAAGAAAGGAAATATAAAGCTCTAGCTATTTTCTCTAGCTAGTGGCTCACGCCTGTGATCCTATCTACTTAGGTGGCTGAGTTCTGAGGACTGCAGTTTGAAGCCAGCACAGGAAGGAGTCTGAGACTCTTATCTCTAATTAACCACCAGAAAAGCCAAAAGTGGGGCTGTGGCTCAAGTGGTAGAACACCAACCTTGAACTTCCAGGCCCTAAGTTCAAGCCCTAATACTGGTACTGGCATGCGTGCATGTACGAGGGCGCGCGCGCACACACACACACACACACACACCATAATACTAGTACTGGCGCATACACACACACATACACCATAATACTGGTACTGGCGCATACAGACACACCATAATACTGGTACTGGTGCGTACACACAGACACAGACACACAGACACAGACACACACACAGACACACACACACAGACACACACACACACACACACCGAGAAGAAGAAAGAAAATAAGCTCTGACCTAATAAAATTGATTATACTCTTGTTATATGTCCTCACAAATTCAATTATCATCTGGTAATCAACTGTACTGAAAAAAAAATATCTACCTCATCGCTGATAAGCACATGAATTCCTGTTGGTCCCTGTTTGTAAATCTGGCTAATTTGTCGAGGAGAAATGCTGAAAAGCTGAGCGATTTTTTCTGTCAATTCAACAGCTGTCAGTTCTTCTAGATAGATTGCATGGTATACTGAAAGGGGGAGAAAACAACCATAGTCAGTACAAAAGTTAGTTCTCTGCATTCATAGGTAATCTGACCATTAGGAATGTCCACTTTTCTCTAAGACTCAGATATCATATTGCCGGTGTACAGATCATGGTTCTTTGGCTATGAGATGTAGGACAAGTTATTTTCTTCATTTAAATGTTGGCAAAAATAACATTTACAACAAAGAGATTATTAGTTATAAAATTTAAAGTGTATAAAAAGTGTTGGGGCCAAGTGCTAGAAGCTCATACCTGTAATCCTAGCTACTCAGGAAGCTAAGATCTAAGAATTTCAGTTCAAAGCCAGCCTAGGCAGGAAAGTCCGTGAGACTCATCTCCAATTAACCACAAGAAAACCAGAAGTGGTGCTGTGGTGATTTGATAAATGCCCATCACACATGCCCATAAGTCTTATTTTCACCTTTCTGTCCTGGTCTGCCCAGAACCACCTACCGAAGAAAGTACCATTTGAGTCTCCATCCTCATGCTTCTGCTGTGGCTGCTGCTGCTGTTGCTGTTGCTGCTGCTGTTGCTGCTGCTCCCGCAACTGCAATGATTCCTGACAGACATATATGGTTAATCTTGGACGCACCATCCTAAGGAGGTAGAAAAGAACTGTTAGTTTTATAGTTTTTATGGTAAGTACATTGTGAGATTGTATGTCTACATTGCTAGACCAGTGGTTGAGAAGTGGCAGTTCATGGAACAAATACAATTCATGATTATATTTTTTGTTTTTTTTGTTGGTCGTGGGGCCTGAACTCTGGGCCTGGGCGCTGTCCCTCAGCTCTTCAGCTCAAGGCTAGCGCTCTACCACTTGGGCCACAGTGACACTTCCAGCTTTTTCTGTTTATGTGGTGCTAAGGTATTGAAACCAGGGCCTCATGCATGCAAGACAAGCACTCTACCACTAAGCCACCTTCCCAGCCCGCATGTATATGTTTTATTAGCTCCTCAGTGATTGTTTCTGTTCTTGAATGTGAATTAGTTCCAAAAGGAGACATCTGACAAAACTTTGACTTTTCTTAAAAACTCAGTTCTGGCAATCTAGGATCCTCATTCTCACATGAAAACAATCTCTTACGTGTTATATGTATTCTTCAGCAAAACCTTGGCATTCCTTCATACCTGTGTGGCTCCTGTGGTCATTTCAATTTGTGGGTTCTGGTGTAAAGATTAAAAATAATCAAAGTGCAGTCAGGAGCCAATTGCTCAGTCATCAATAATCCTAACTACTCAGGAAGCTGAGATCTTAGGATCGCAGCTCGAAGCTAGCCCTGACAGGAGAGTCCACGACACTTAGCTATAATTAACCACCACAAAATCATAAGTGGTGCTGTGGCTCAAAGTAGTATAATACTAGCTTTGAGCAAAAGAGCTCAGGGACAATGCTGAGCCCTGAGTTCAAGCCCTACAACCAACAAAAGGGGGGAAAAACCCTCAAAATAGATGACTATTTTGTAGATCAGGTTCAAATACATATTTTTTTTCTTTAAAAATGCTACTACAGCTGGGCGCCAGTGGCTAATGCCTATAATCCTAGTTGCTCAGGAGGCTGAGCCCAGACAATACTCTTACCTCAGCTTCAGAAGTACTGGGATTATAGGTATTCAACTTACTACTATTTGTTTTGTTTCTTTCAAAGCCCTTATCATTATCCAAAATACTTATTGTTTATATCTGTCATTCTCCTTATTAGAAAGTAAATGTTGCCAAGGTGTAGTGGTTCCTGGTCTACTTGGGAGGTGAAGATTGGAAGATTGGGGGATCATGGTTCAAGACTAGTCTGGGCAAAAAAAGTTAGTGAGATTTCCCCCACCATTGCCACCATCTCCCCTGTCTGAAGATAATGAAATGTGGGACTCTGCCAGAAAATAACTAAAGCAAGAACAAGGGCTGGAGACATGGCTCAGGTGGTAGAGCACCTGCACAGCAAATTGAGGCCCTGAGTTCAAACTCCAGTACAACCAAAAAAAAAAGGTAAACTCTACATCTTGTCTGTTTGCTTACCAGTTTATCTATAAAACCTACAAAAGTACTTGGCTCATGCTGAAGACAATTAATATTTTCTAGATGAAAAAACAACCTGGAAATGAAAAAACTGGGATTGCATGGAGAATTCCTTAGATCAAATGTATGAAAGGGTACTCATTTTGGCAGCACATATACATCTGTCTTTATTTGGTATATGGCTGGCATTTCCAAAAATGTTTTGAGCCATGCTGGTGGCTCGCACCTATAAATCCTAGCTACTCAAGAGGCTGAGATCTGAGGACTGCAGCAGTTCAAAGCCAGCTTGGGCAGGAAAGTATATGAGACTCTAATCTCCACTAAACCACCAAAAAAGCTAGAAGTGAAGATTTGGCTCAAGTGGTAGAGTGCTAGCCTTGAGCAAAAGAGGCTCAAGAATAGTGCCTAGGCCCTGAGTTCAAGCCCCAGGACTAACACACACACAAAAAAAAATAATTAAAAGAAAAACACAAGTTTTGACTTGGACAGTATGGCTCAAGTAGTATCTGTTTACCTAGAAAGCTTGAGGCTCTGGGTTTAAACTCCAGAACTGGAAGGAAAAAAAAGTTTGACAAGATTTATGTAACTATATGCTGAATCCCTGAGTCCAACTTCATTGCTTTTTTTTTTTTTTTTTGGGTCCGGTCGTGGGGCCTGAACTCTGGGCCTGGGCACTGTCCCTCAGCTCTTCAGCTCAAGGCTAGTGCTCTACCACTTGAGCCACAGCACCACTTCCGGCTTTTTCCTTTTTGCTTATGTGGTGCTGAGGAATCAAACCCAGGGCCTCATGCATGCAAGGCAAGCGCTCTACCACTGAGCCACCTTCCCAGCCCTTCATTGCTATGTTAACAGCAATTACATACCGGCCTTTTAATGCATTAAAAAGTCTGATTCCATCTGCAGGGCCACAGATTTGGATCACATCATCTCTAGTTAGTTTCAATAAATCTGCCCCTGGAATGAATATAAGAAAATAAGTGATAAAGGCAAAGATTCTCTTCATTAATGGCTATTAAAATGGGTCTTTTACAAGGATACCTCATCACCAGCAGGTTACAGCCTATCATGGCATATAGACCCTTATATAGACTCCTGTCTGCGCTAATGTCTCAGTTCTCATCCACCTAACTCCTCCACTTAACCCGATGCTTTCATTGATTTGTTGAATAAGGAAATTCTTCTTCCTTCTGAAATACCCTCCTACCATGTGACCAAGACTCCTATCACACAAGATTTACCTGACATGTTACATGTGTTCCCTAACACTAGGCCATCCCCTGAACATCTCTCTTGATATACACTTCCACTGGACCACCTATCTACTAGTGTTTAATGTTCATGTGATTTTTTTTATATGAGATGATGAATGATTTCTCTGATCACCAAGTATGCCTTATTCATTTGTGTACTCCTACCGCTGCTCGTACACAAGTGCTGACCAAAAGTAGATGTTGTAAATGAAATACAATATAGAGACATCAAGGGAAAAATTCAGATTATCTACAAATGTCCCTTAATAAAATATTGTATGGAAATTACATTTGAAAAAGTGTTGCATGGAATAAGTATTTTAAAGCTAAAATGAGTTCAAACTAAGAGGTGCTTTTAAACTGATGAAAAAGCCAGGAGTAGTTAATAAACACTGTACACATAAATGGACTTCTCAAACTGAAACTCCCTTATACAACCAATTGATGATCAACTAAAAAAAGGAAAGAAACACTACCCCCATCACATCAATACCAGAAGACCCTAGAATGCAAGTAAATATCCCATTCTGGGGAAAAGAAAAGGAAAGGCAAATTTCACCTGAAAAGTTGGTAAAAAGTCTTGTAAATGTAGAAAACCGGTTTCGATGCAACCACTGTTGAGCTTCCTGAGGTGTGGTTGTTGGCAAAAGGTTCTGAAAGGGAGAAAGCATTTATTTTTAGTTGCTAAAGAGATTCATCTGTTACCTCGTTAGGTACACTGCCAGTCAAACACACCTATAAACCCACACTCAGATAGGCCTAGTTTGTTTACAATTATTTACATCATATCAGTATCTTTCTCTAATCATGAAAGCTACCATAGAGTTTTATATTTATCTCCCTGACTAAACTATAAGCTCTTTAAATTCAATGGTACCTGTAAGAATAGCTATAAGGAAGATGAAGTGGGAAGCTCATTTAAGCCACAAGTTTGAGACCAGCATAGGGAACATCGTGACACTCCATCCCCAAATTTTTTTTAAAAAAATGTTTAAACAAAGTCTGAAAAACAAGACAAATAGAAAGCTGAGGGAGAAAAAAAAGAAACCAAAAAACTTTTATTTCAAGGTCTTGAGTTATCAATTTATATTTTAGATCCCTAGCATGATTTCTGGCTCAGAGTGAAAATTCAATAAACAAATGAGTGTATAACATTCCCTAACAATTGGGCATTTATATAGAATCACAAATAAGTGACATTCAGCTTTAGACTTACATCTGTGACTGGAGGGGGCGGCTCTGGCTGATGGTTTGGTGAACCATTTCTAAAGAAACATTTAAAATGAAGGGATGAGTCCATGACACATACTAGGGTTCATTATCTCATTCTTCATCTTCTAATTAAAGATTTAACTTAGAGATTTGAAAAAAACTGTGCTCTCTTAAAATATTTATTTTTTCTTGGGTCCGGTTGTGGGGCCTGAACTCTGGGCCTGGGCGCTGTCCCTCAGCTCTTCAGCTCAAGGCTAGCGCTCTACCACTTGAGCCACAGCGTCACTTCCGGCTTTTTTTTTTTTCTGCTTATGTGGTGCTGAGGAATCGAACCCAGGGCCTCATGCATGCAAGGCAAGCGCTCTACCACTGAGCCACCTTCCCAGCCCTCTTAAAATAGTCTTAACAACATAGTTTTTCAGTTTATGTCAACCTAAAACCCTGATAGGAAGATGGAGAAATTATATTACTTACAACATTTTTTATTACAAAAAAAAAAAACGAAAAATTTCCATAAATTGTAACTTATGACATAAATGTCATTATGACATTCATTATGTCATAATGAATATTTATAAGGGGCTGGGACTATAGCTCAGTAATACAGCACTTTCCTAGCATGACTGAAGTGGCCTAGATTCAATCTCCAGCACTATAAAAAATAAATAAGAATATTTACAAGAAATTTATTAGAATGAGAAACACTAGAAGCCAGGCACTAGTGGCTCATGCCTGTGATCCTATCAATTCAGGAGGCTGAGCTCTGAGGATTGACGTTTAAAGCCTAACTCTGGCAAGTTAGTGAGACTTCATCTCCATTTAACCAGTAAATGAGTTGGAATAGAGGTATGGCCCAAGTGGCACAGAACCAGTCATGCATGAAAAGCCAAGCAAGAGCACAGGTCCTAAATGAGGCGCTGGTGCCTCAGCCTGTCATCCTAACTACTCAGGAGGCTGAGATCTGAGGAGCACAATTGGAAGCCAGCTGGGGCAGGAAAGTCCATGAGGCTCTTATCTCCAATTAACCTCCAGAAAACCAGAAGTAGTGCTGTGGCTCAAAGTGAACGAAAAAAGCTCAGCGATGGCACTTAGACCCTGAGTTTAAGCCCTACAACCCAAAACAACAACAAAAAGTTTATGTCCTGGTATGGAGGGAGGGGCACAAAAAAGAAAAATATTTATAAAAATATGTATAAGGGCTGGGAAGGTGGCTCAGTGGTAGAGTGCTTGCCTTGCATGCATGAGGCCTTGGGTTTGGTTCCTCAGCACCAGATAAGCAGAAAAAGCTGGAAGTGGCACTGTGGCTCCAGTGCTAGCCTTGAGCTGAAGAGCTGAGGCTCAGAGCCCAGGCCCAGAGTTCAGGCCCCCATGACTGTCAAAAAAATAAAATAAGATATAAAATCAACTGATTTACTACTACTCCTTCTATATTACTATATTAAATATGCACATATATAGGAAAATATTGTAAGATTTATGCAATGTAATATGATCACAGTTTTATCAAGAAAAAAACAGTGTATGTATGTAGTAGGACTGACCCCCAAGGCCTTGGGCCTTGTACATGACAGGCAAGTGTACTATCACTGAGCAACACCTGATAAACAAATTTTTTGTGTGCCAGTCCTGGAGCTTGAACTCAAGGCCTAGTATCCCATAGTTTTTTCCACTTGAGCTATAGCTCCATATCTGGCTTTTTGGTGATTAAATTGGAGCTAAGCATCTCACAGACTTTCCTGCTTGAATTGGCTTCAAACCATAATCCTCAGGGCTCAGCCGCGTGAGTAGCCACTGGTGCCTTGTAAACCATTATTTTAAAGCAGCTTCAGGAATGAGTGCTATTTAATTTGTGATCCAAAGGCTATCTTCACATCTCTGACTTTTTTTTTCTTCTTCTGATTTTGGATTATCTGCTTCCCTAATGTCTGCTTCCTTTATGAGAGAAAAAGTCACACCTAATAGTGAATTACAGAGGAAAAAAAAAGAAAATGTAAAGCACAATTCTTAAACTCTATGTACAGTACTTTAAGATGCTTATAAATAGATGGTATCATCCTTGTAGTTGGTGAGGAAAAAAATTCTTTAAAATGGTATATGTACATGTCTATTATCCCAGCTACCTAGAAGGCTGAAGCAGAAGACTAATTTCAGCCCACGAATTCAAGGCCAGCTCATCTCAACTAAAAAAAAGAAAAAAAGAATAATGCTGAAGTTTTAGTTTAGCCTGAGCTGCAAAATTCAAGTATGATATTCAAACTTACTAATTATCTCAGGGCCCTATACTATATTTCTTCTAAAACTACTACTTCTTTCTGTTGGTAATTGTTACATTTAAGCTACTTTAAATATTTCAAGAAGTAGATCAAACATAGAACCCAACTAAATCAAAAAGCAAACATTATGATCCATCAATACACACACATTTGCTAGCTTATTTCTAAGTTTCAATATGGCTATAAGGAATACATGCTAAACACTAGGACTATAAACCAACTATTTTTTAAAACTAGAGTTGATATCAATACTCACTTTCAAATATCTCTGATAATAAAAGACAATACAGCAAAATTAACTGCATCCCAGGGATACTTAAATTTTATTTTGGCTATCATCTTAAAGGCCCCTAAAAATGATTAAGAACATTGGTTTTTTTCTCAGTGCTGGGAATGAAACCCAAGGCCTTGTTTATACTAGACAAGTGCTCTACTACTAAGAAATATCCTCTCCCCACTACAGACTTTAGTGTCTAAACAACTGTGCTTTCAATACTAAGTAACATTCCCTGCTGCAGGTATGAAGAAGTAAATAATACAAGGTGAGCAGTAAGAGGGCAAATCAAGAAACCCAGATAGGCTAGGTGCTAGTGGCTCATGTCTATAATCCTAAAGATTCAGGAGACTGAATTCAGATTTCAGGAGGCTAAGACCTAAGGGATGTGGCCCAAGTGGTAGAGCACCAACCCTGAGCAAAAAAAAAGCTAAGCAAGAGCTCTATTTCAAGGCCCGGTACACAGAAGTGCACGCGCGTGCACACATGTGCACACATGGAAACCACCCAGATAATTAGTCTCATAGTTGCTAAAAATTGACCATAAATGTTTTGGTATCTCTAATGCTATTTCTGAGGAGGAAGGAAAAAGAAGGAAGAAAAAAAGGCTATATTAAAATCTTTAAGTCTCTTTTGAAGATAATCCAAATTTTAGTTAATATAAAAAATTATCAAAGACTGACCAAATAGAAATACTTGTTGATTTGGAAAGATACTATGTGTGGAAATATAATGAAGTACATATTTAGTACAAATACAAGCCAATTTCATTTTCGACTTACCCTTCCCCAAGGGAAAAACTGCTATGGGAACTGTTGAAGCCAGGTGATGGGGAGTTATTAACGTATGTGATCTCAGGCCATGGAGAACACTGAAAACAGAGGACAGATTTGATAAAGAAAAGCACATTTCACGCCAGTGCAGGTGGCTAGCTACTCAGGAGGCTGAGATCTGAGGATCACGATTCAAAGCCAGCCCGGACAGAAAAGTCCAGAAAAGTCCGTGAGACTTTTATCTCCAATAAACCACTAGAAAACCAGGAAGTGGCGCTATGGCTCAAGTGGTAGAGCGCTCGCCTTGAGCTGAAGAGCTGAGGGACAGCACCCAAGCCCAGAGTTCAAGCCCTACCACCGACAAAAAAGAAAAAGAAAAAGAAAGAGCACATTTCACTCTAATGGCCCATTAAATATTGTTATTTCAAAAGCATATCTTTTTTTTTTCTTGCCAGTCCTGAGGCTTGAACACAGGGCCTGGCCACTGTCCCTGATCTTCTTTTGTTCAAGGCTAGCACTCCACCACTCGAGCCATAACACCATTTGTGGCCTTTTCTGTTTATGTGGTACTGAGAAATCAAACGTAGGGCTCCATGCATGCAAGGCAAGCAATCTACCACTAAGCCACCTTCTCAATAGCCTATCTTAATTAGTAAATCTTTATTCTTTTGAGGTTTCGGTAAGCAAAAACAAAAAATGCTCAGAAGTAAAATTAGAGTGGGCTAGAAATTAAATGATATATATTTCTCTCTTAAGAGTGAAGATTGGGGCTAGGAAGGTGGCTCAATGGTAGAGTGCTTGCCTTGCATGCATGAGGCCCTGGGTTCGATTCCTCAGTACCACATAGACAGAAAAAGCCAGAAGTAGTGTTAAGGCTTAAGTGGTAGATCACTAGCCCTGAGGTGAAGAGCTGAAGGACAGTGCCCAGGCCCCATGACTGACAAAAAAAAAAGTGAAGATGAAGGGATGTATGTCAATAGTAGTGGTCTGTCTGCCTAGCATGTGTAAAGCCCTGGTTTGATTATGAGCCCCACAGGAAATGAAGAGACAGGAACAAGAGAGAGAGGAGGGGGGAGAGGGGAAGGAGAGAGAGAAAATGAAAAAAATAGGCTGAAATTTTCACCAAAAGAAATCCTTTTACCTCTGTAAGAATGGTTGTCTCATAAGATGGTTGATATTTTTCCTTTTCATGTGGTGTTCGTTTCTCCATTTTTTCTCTGTCTGTTTTTTGCTTCCTGTCTGCACCTTTGGGCTAAAATAAGAAATATTTTGTCTTATACCTAAGTACTCATCTTCTTGAAAACACATGTTCACATATAAAACTTACATATACAATGATGCAAAGACAAGAAACATTACCATCTAAGTCTGAAAACAAAATTGAAATGTTGCTTGGGATTAGAAAGGAATGACAGGCCAGGTGTGATATATACCTACCACCCCAGCAACTCAGGAGGCTGAGGAAGAATACTGCAGTAGAGGCCAGGTAAATCATAAGTTTGAGGCCACCTTGGGCAATTCAGAAAGACTCTCTTAAGTCTCAAAATAATTCACATAGTGTAATCTTACTTTGTTTCAAAGAGGGCAAACTATGTATATACCTATGTAAACATTTGTATAAAAGCAGTTATGACAGTGTCTACTTCTGGGGAGAAGTTGGGAAATTTCTCTTTCTTTTATTTTTATTTTTGCCAGTATAGAGGTTTCAAGGGCTTGTACTCACTCAGCCAGAACTCTACCTCTTGAACCACACCTCTACTTCTGGCTTTTTGCCAGAATTGGCTAATTGGAGATAGTACCATGAACTTTTCTGCCCATGCTGGCTTTGAACTCCAATCCTCTGTATCTCAGCCTCCTGAGTAGCTAGGATTACAAGTATAAGCCACTAACACCCAGCTCCTGAATTCTTTTATATTATCAAATATCTTAGAATGAGAATATATTTATGAAGGCAATAAAAATAAAGACCTGAACTCCATCTTTTAACCACCTACTCAGGAAATGGAAGTTAGAAAGATTACAGTTGGAGGCTAGTCCAAGCAAAAAGTTAGCAAGCAAAACATTAGAAAGACCCTATCTTAACAAACAAGGTACAATGGTATGTCTCCAGCTAGGCTAGGTGGGAGGCCCTGGGTAGGAGGATCATGGTCCCAAGGCTAGCTCTGTGGAAAAAGCATGAGGCATTCTCTAAAATATAACTTAAGCAAAAAAGAGCTGGAGGTTTGGCTCCAGTGGTAAAGTACCTGCCTAGCAAATACGAGGCCCATAACTCAACCCCCTGTACCACCTAGGTCAAGATAAGATGAACTATGATGCTGGGTGCTAGTGCCCCACACCTGTAATCCTAGCTATTCAGGAGGCTGAGATATGAGGATTATGTTCAAAGCCAGCCTGAGCAGACAAATTCTGAGAGATTTTCATCCCCACTTAGCCAGCAAAACACTGGAACTGAAGCCAAGTGCCAGTGGCTCACATCTGTAATCCTAACTGCTCAGGAGGCTGAGATCTGAGGATCATGGTTTGAAGCCAGCCCAGGCAGGAAACGCCATGAGACTTTTTTTTTTTTTTTTTTTGGGGGGGGGGGGGGGGTCCAGTCGTGGGGCCTGAACTCTGGGCCTGGGCGCTGTCCCTCAGCTCTTCAGCTCAAGGCTAGCGCTATACCACTGAGCCACCTTCCCAGCCCATCCATGAGACTTTTATCTCCGATAAACTACACAAAAAAAGCTGCAAGTAGCACTGTGGCTCCAAGTAGTAGAGTACTTGCCTTGAGCAAAAAAGAAGCGCAGGGACAGTGCCTAAGTCTAGAGTTCAAGCCCCAGAACTGCCCCCCCCCCCAAAAAAGCGGAACTATAGGTGAGGCTCAAGTAGTACAGCACCAACTGTGGCTATCAATACAAGGATCTGAGTGCAAATCCTAGTGCATACACTCACAAAGATGATCAATTATGAGTATAATAAAAACATTCATCTCTCCATAATTTTGTAAGCTTTAGAAGAGCTTATACTTTCAACAGGCTTCAATACGAATGCATGATTTTGTTTGTCTCTTTTTCCAAGTTCTTACTATCCTGTGACCATCTCCATATGTATCAGTGGACCAAGTATCTTAGTAATTATTTCAGTAATTTTTAGCTTAGACAGTCTGCATAGTCCAGTTAACTTTCTAACTTGGTAACTTACATTAAAGTAGAATTACAAGGAAAAAGGATCCAAGGGCCAGTACATTGCCCAAGAATACCTTGAAGACTTTGATCTGGCAGCTGGCTGAATGTAAGTGCTCAGTATATTCCCCATTTTCATTCTCCTTGAAGGTATCAATTTGTACTCGGAATGGCACTCCCTTTTCTCCACCATGTTTCCTCATAGTAAACTCTGTGCTAATACAATGTACCTGAAAAGAATACAACATAAAAACATCAGTATAGCTAGCAATCCAAACCAATCAGTGATATATTTTGAGTAATTACCCATAGCAAAACTTTTTAATAGGCCATTTATGAACACTCATAAAAACTGTTTCCTCTTTTTTTTTTTTTTTGTCCGGTTGTGGGGCCTGAACTCTGGGCCTGAGCACTGTCCCTCAGCTCTTCAGCTCAAGGCTAGTGCCCTACCACTTAAGCCACAGCGCCACTTCTGGCTTTTTTCTTTTTGCTTATGTGGTGCTGAGGAATCGAACCCAGGGCCTCAGGCATGCAAGGCAAGCGCTCTACCACTGAGCCAACTTCCCAGCCACTGTTTCCTCTTTTTGATCTTGAAGAAAATATGGTCTAATGAAGGAAATGAGAAAAAAATTAACAAAAACCCTTGTTTCCACTGAAAATTTTAAATTGTTTGCAAATTCAAACAAAATAAATGTACAGATCTAATGCTATATGTTGAACCTGCTGTAAGGAATTAAATTTATTATCTGCTTCAGAGAACATAGTCTATAGGAGAAAGACTACTATTAGTAAAGCTTCTTATGTAAGATAGCTTTTACAAAGAAGAGGCACATGGCTAGGAATATGGCTTAATGGTAGAGTGCTTGCCTAGCATGCATGAAGCCCTGGGCTCAATTCCTCAGTACCACATGAACAGAAAAAAAACTGGAAGTGGCACTGTGGCTCAAGTGGTAGAATGCCAGCCTTGAGCAAAAGAAGCTCAGGGACAGTGCCCAGGCCCTGAGTTCAAGCCCCCAGACTGGCAAAAAAAAGAGGAGGCACAGTCTGGCTTGAAAAAATAGTGAATATGCACGCTTACAGAAACGGTAGAGGGTATGATTTGCCTGGCTACTGTTTAAAGTCTAAGATTGGTGAATTTTTTTTGGGGGGGGGTTGGTCATGAGGTTTGAACTCTGGTTATAGGCACTGACCCTGAGCACTTCAGCTCAAGGCAAGTGCTCTACCACTTGAGGCACAGTGCCATCTCCAGTCTTCTGATGATTAAGGGAGGATAAGAGTTTCACGGACTTTCCAGCTCATGCTGGCTTTGAATGGTGATCCTCAGATCTCAGCCTCCTGAGTAGCTAGGATTACAGGCGTGAGCCACCTGCTTAAGACTGGTAAATCTTAATAGTGGAACCTTGTCTGATTGATCACTTACTAGCTTAGGTTAAGTTATTAAACCATTCTAAGTCTCAGACTATTCCTACCTCACAGAGCTAGTTATTGTTCAAAGTCTTAAATTCATGTATACAAAGGGTTTGACTAACAAAGTCATTATTTCAGTAAATTATTGGCTATCATTACTACAAGGAAAGAATTTTGGGGGTATAGAAATTTGAACTCAGGGCCTTGCACTTGAGCCATGGTTCCAGCCCAGCTTTTTGCTGCTATTTTGGAGATGGAGGCTTGTAGACTTTTCTCTCTGGGTTGGTTTGAATCTAGATTCTCTGTATCTCAGCCTCCTGACTAGCTAGGATAACAGGCATGAGCCACTAGCACCAAGCTATAAGTAAAAGATTTTTGGGAAGGAATCATTCAAAGGACATAATCTGTGAATAAAATTTTAAGTATGCAACTGTTCAAAATAATTTTATGGATAATAGTGAAAAATTAGAATAATTTGTACACAAATAAGCATTAGGTAAGTTATGAGACAACCAAAGAACAATACACTATGCATCCATCAGCAATTACTTTGGAGAAATGTAAGTAAATAAACAGAAAATTAGAAGAGCAATTTTTTAAAAATTCTCAATGTCCAGGCACATGCTGAGGCTTCTTGATAGGCTAGGACCCTTAAAAGATTTCCAACTAGAGGTTTAAGGTACAGCTTAGTGGCAGAATGTATTTTTAAATCTTTTTTATTGTTGGTATAAAGGTAACATACAGCAGGGTTGCAGTTACAAAAGTAAAGAGTAGATTTCCTTTTGGACATTGTCACTCCTTCCCTTGCTCTCACACATTTTCCTCACCCAAATTGTATAATTCATTTTCAACATAGTATCCAGTGAGTACCACTGCTGCATTTGTTTACCCTTTGTCCCTCCAGGTAGAATGTATTCTTATTAGCATATGTGAGGACCAGATTCATTCTTACCACCAAAATAAAATTTCAAATTAACCCATCTTCTCCTTTAAGAAACAATTTGGAATGCTTTCAGCCATTCCTACCTGAATAAACACAGATGTCCTCTTTGAAGGGTCCCATAAGAACTCCACTGTATTTAGCTGGGTTGGATTAGCTCTAGGATCTATTATGCCCACAGACATTGGGATATCTGGAAACAAAATGACAGAATTCTTACACTGGTCTCAGACTCCTGAGCTCAAGCAATCTTCCTATTTCAACTTCCCTGGTGCCAATGACTAACGGCATTTGCCACCATGCCCAGGTCTACTTGGTTTCAAATTAAAAAGCAAGGATTCATTCACCCATAGTTACAATGATTTTCATGTATCATACCCTAAACTTCTTTCTTGCAAATAAAAAAAGTCTGAATAAAAGAATTAAAATAGACTTATGCATTCTTCTTCTTCTAACCCTAACCCTAGTGGCGGGGAGGGGGAGTGCAGGCAACGTAGTGAAACCCTGTTTAAAAAACAAACAAGCCAGGCCCAGTGACTCAAGAATATAATCTTAGCTACTTGAGAGGAAGATATTGGGCAGTTTAAGACAAGCCCCATCAGAAAAGTTAACAAAGCTCCAATCAATGACTAGGCATGGGGGTGTCATCCTAGCAACAAAGGGAAGTACAAATAGGAGGGTCATAGTCCAGGTTGGTCTGGTCAGAAAGCAAGATGCTATCTTGAAAATAACCAATGTGAAAAGAGGTTGGTGTAATGGCTCAAGAGGTAGAGTGCTTACTTAACAAGTCCAAGGACATATAAACAAATGGAACAGAACCAAGAGTCTATATATTGTCAAGAGAATTCCAACAAGGGTACCAAGACTATTCAAAAGGATGAAGAATGGTCTTTCCAACAAATGCTCTTAGATATCCATCCACATGCAAAAAAAATAAAGTCAGACCTTTACCTTTGTACCATATACAAAAATTGACTCAAAATAGATCCATGACCTAAGTGACTGTAAGACCTAAAACTATAAAACATATAGGAGAAGCTTTATAACTGGATTTATATAAGACACCAAAACCTTAGCCAATTTAAAAGATAACTTTTGTGTATCAAAAGGATATTATCAAGCCAGTGCTGGTAGCTCAAGCCTGTAATCCTATTTAGTCAAAAGACTGAAATCTGAAAATCAAAGTTCACTGACCGCCTAGGCAAAAAAGACTGCAAGACACTTATCTCCAATTAACCAGCAAAAAACCAGTAATGGAGGTATGGCTTAAGTGGTAGACTGCCAGCCTTAAGCAAAAACACCAAGCAAGAGTATAAAGCTCTGAGTTCAAGCCCTAGTCCTGGTACAAAAAAAAAAAAAAAAAAGAAGACAAAAGAAAAGACAAGAAATAGCCACATACTGGTTGCTTGTGCCTATAAAATTAACCATTCAACACGCTGAAATCTGAGAATTGTAGTTTGAAGCCAGCCTGGGAAGAAAAGTCTATAAGACTCGTATCTCCAATTAACCAACAAAAAGCCAGAGGTAGAGATGTGGCCCAAATGGTAGAGCTTCAGCCTTTAGTGAAAAAGCTATAGGACAGTGCCCAGGCCCTGAGTTCAAGCCTCAGCACAAAAGGAAGAAGAAAGAGAAGGAGGAGGAAGAAGAAAGAGAAGGAGGATGAGGAAGGAGAGGGAGGAGAAGGAGGAGGAGGAAGAAGGAGGAGGGAGGAGGAGGAGGAGGAGGAAGGAGGGAGGAGGAAAGAGGGAGGAAGAAGAAGAAGAGCAAAAAGATGTCAACATAGTTAAAAGAAAACCCAAGCAGGGCACTGGTGGTCCTAGCTACTCAGGAGGCTGAGATCTGAGGATCACGGTTCAAAGCCAGCCCAGGCAGGAAAGGCCATGAGATTCTTATCTCCAATAAACCACCAGAAAACCAGAAGTGACGCTGTGGCTCAAGTGGTAGCACACTTTCCTTGAGCTGAAGAGCTCAGAGACAGCACCCAGGCCCAGAGTTCAAGCCCCACGATCGACAAGCAAAACCTGACAACTAGTGGCTCATATCTTTACCTAGCTACTTAAGAGGCTGAGATCTAAGGATTACAGTTCAAAACCATACCATGTAGAAAAGTCTGTAAGACTCTTATCTCCAATAAACTACTCAGAAAACCACAGATGTGAAGCTGTGGGTCAAGTAGTGGAGTACTAATTTTGAGCTAAAGAAACTTAAGGATAGTGCCCAGACCCTAGGTTCAAACCCAGAACCAGCACACATACACACCCACACACATACACTCTGACAAGACTTGAACAGCTAGTTATTTTCTCAAAAAATATACAAATAACCAATGTATTTCCTGTCATTATTCATAAGGAAAAATCAAATCAAAACCATAATGAGATACCACTTCACACTCATTAGAACAGTTATTACAAGAAGAGGAGGGAAGAAGAGGGGGGAAATAGGAGGAGAAGGAGAGAGAAGAAGAAGAAGGGAGAAGGGAGAGGAGAGGAAGGAGGAGAAGGTGGTGGAGAAGAAGGTCAGTCTGGAGATGGAGGTCAGTGACAGGGTGCTTTCCTAGCATGGACAAGGCCCAGGGTTCCACTCTAAGAACAAGGAAGAAAGGGAGGGAAGGAGGAAAGGGGAGGGAAGGAGGGAAAGAAAAAGAGATAGAAGTATTAGTAAGGATATGGGAACTTGGAACTCTGAGCACTAATGAGAATGTAAAATGTATAGCCACTTCAAAAACAATATACTCATTCCTCAGAAAAATTTAAACTAGAATTACCAGATGATCCAGAAATCTCAATTTTGGGTATTTATGCAAAAAAGAAATGAAAGCAGACACTCAAACAAATAGCAGCATTATGGGGCTGGGAATGTGGCTTAGTGGTAGAGTACATGTTTAGCAAGCCCTGTGTTTGATTCCTTAGTACCACATAAAACAGAAAAAGCTGGAAGTGGCACTGTGGCTCAAGTGGTAGAGTGTTAGCCTTGAGCACAAAGAGGCTTAGGAACAGAGCCCAGGCCCTGAGTTCAAGCCCCAATACTAGCAAAAAAAAAAAAAAAAGCAGCATTATCCACAATATTCAAAAGATGGAAGGAAGCAATCTGTGTATACATTAACAGATGAATAAACAAAAGACAATGTACACACACACACACACACACACACACACACACACACACTATATCTATATACCCATTCACCACAACGAAATATTACTCAGACCTAAAAAGGAAGATTTTCACATATACTACTATAAGGATAAACTCTGAAGACATTATGCCAAATAATAAAAGCCAGTCACCAAAGGACAGATACTATATGGTTTCATTTTTATGAGATACCTAGAATAGGAGCTACTAGACAGTGGGAGACAGGGAATAAAGTGTTAACTGTTTAATGTATATAGTTTTAGCTTTTCAAGATGAAAAAAGTTCTTGGGATGGATAATGCTGATAGCTGCACAAAGTAAATGTACTTAATACTATTGAAACATACTGACTAGGGTAGTAAATTCTGTTATAAAGTAAAACATTCATACCATTTTACCACAATTTAAGATAAACCAAAACCATTCTGAAGTAATGGATGCAACTGCCAAGGAACTAAAGTATTCATACTTGCTATATCAGTTTGATATCCTATATAAGTAATGTTTCTTCTTAATAAATATCCACTTCAAGCCAGGCAACTGGTGGCTCATGCCTGTAATCCTAGCTACTCAGGAGGGTGAGATCTGAGGATCAAGGTTGATTCAATGCCAGCCGGGGCAGGAAAGTCCGTGAGATCTTACCTCCAGAAAACTGGAAGTGGTGCTGTGGCTCAAGTAGTAGAGCATTTGCCTTGAGCTGAAGAGCTCAGGTACAGTGCCCAGGCCCAGAGTTCAAGCTCCACAACCCCCACCCCGCCCCCCCCAAAAAAAAAGAATCAAAAAACACATTAAAGTTCATGCTGAACCTCTAAAGCCTATAAATGAAGGTAAATGTCAAGTAAAGAAAACTAATCCTCAGCCTATAGTTAAAGGCACTTCCTATGCAACAGTCTCTTAACTCACCTATATCAAGAATCCTATCTCCTGGTCGGTTCCACCTCCAGCCTTCCAGCTGCTGATGCTCAGTGTACTGTAGCCTTCTGTCATGGAATACTACACGGAATATACTCTAAAAAGAACAACAAAGTCAGTAAACTATGCCCCTTGAAAATCAATGTAGCTGAGTCCCTGGTAGTGGGATTTTAGTCATAATCAAAATTACCTAAGAACCATTTTCCTCGAAAACCTGTACCATATTAAACTCTGTGCCTGGATAAATTTCATAATTTCTCATATGTAATCTTTTTTATTTTTACAGGAATATTAGTGCTTGAACTAAGAGCCTCATGCTTGCTAGGCTGATGCTCTACCACTGATCCATACCTCCACTTCTGTTTTCTTAGATTATTTTTTTTTAACTTTTTGAAATCGGGGGCTGGGAAGGTGGCTCTGTAATAGAGTGTTTGCCTTGCATGCATGAGGCCCTGGGTTCCATTCCTCAGCACCACATAAGCAGAAAAAGCTGGATGTGGTGCTGTGGTTCAAATGGTAGATTGCTAGTCTTGAGCTGAAGAGCTGAGGGACAGTGCCCAGGCCCAGAGTTCATGCCCCACAACCAACCAAAAAAAACAAAAACAAAAACATTTTTATAAAGGGGTTATGGTTATGTAAGTCAGATAAAGAGTACATTTTTTTTAAACAATTTTTATTTGTTATTTTTAAGCTAGGGTCTCATGTCTTGTCTGGGCCTGAACTTAGAGCAAGGGCTATCTATTTTAGGCCCCTCTGTCATAGCTGAGATGACAGGTACACACAATCATGCCCAACTTTATTCAACTGAGATGAAACCTGTGGACTTTTCTACCCAGGCCATCCTGGAAGTATATGCTCTTGATCTCAGTTCCACATATTGATTAAGAAGGGGTCTTGCAAACTTTTATACCCAGGCTGGCCTCAAGTCAAAATCCTTTCCTCAGCTTCCCAAGTAGCCAGGACTATAAGCATGAACCACCTATGCTCAATTTTGTTTTGTTTTGTTTTTGTCGCTGTTGTTGGTTGTGGAGCTTGAACTCAGGGCCTAGGCACTGTCTCTGAGCTCTTTTGCTCAAGGATAGCATTCTACTGCTTTGAGCCACAGCACCACTTCCAGTTTTTCAGTGGTAACTGGAAAGAAGTCTCATGGAGACTTTTCTGCCTGGGCTGGCTTTGAACCATGATCCTCAGATCTCAGCCTCCTGAGTAGCTAGTATTACAGCACTGGCTTGGTTTGGTTTTTAAGACAAGGTCTTGCTATGTAACCCAGGTCTCAAACCTGGTCTCAAACTCTCAATCCACTTGCCTCAGTCTCTTAAATCTTGGTATTACAGGGATGCACAACTATACCTGGCTTATAATCTTCATTAATATAATTGGCATCACATTTAAAATGTCAACGTACTTCTATGTAAAACATTTCTATGTACTTTCACTGTTATGCTTTGTAATGTCTAGCTTAGCCCTTCAGGTATATAAGCAAAACTCACCACTTCCCCTGCTTGCTAACCTATCATACAATCAATGAAAGTTGTGAGACCTATTTCCATCAACTTTCCTTTTGTTACTCTTACTTTGTGAAGGTGCCTATTAATCCCTCCCATCACTTTTCACAATTCTACTAAAACTGTTCCAGCTGTGCTGTGAATTCTCAAAATCCTTACTGTCTATCTACAAAGTGAATTGCTACTCATCAACAGCAAGGTTCCACCTTTGTTTGTTACATTTTTATTTTATGTACAAAGAACTATCATAGTCTTTTTTCATTGAGTGGATGTTCTGGGAGAGCCATTCAAAGATCACCTGGTACAACTGAATGAAGCCTGTATCCTGCAGGTACTAACAGAAACATGCTGACACTCGTTGAACCTCCATTTCTGGATCAGATAAGTCTAATTTGAGCAGAATGGCAAGAGTGAGAATTCTGACCAGATTTTTATGGGTAACTCCAACAGAGCTGCTTTCAGGGATGCAGCAAGGCCAAGGATAGATCATATCAACGGTACTTTCTATTTATCTTGCCACAAATACCAGGAATCCAAAGAGCTATTGAAGCTCCTCTAAAGATCTCAAGGAGAGCTGGGGGAAGCTCAGTGCCAGAGTGCTTGCCTACTATATGTGAGGCTTGGGGTTGGTTCCATCCTAATAACATACACAAAACAAAAATCTTGCCAGGCGCTGGTGGCTCATGCCTGTAATCCTAGCTACTCAGGAGGCTGAGATCTGAGGATCGTGGTTTAAAGCCAGCCTGGGCAGGAAAAGTCTGTGAGACTCTTATCAATAAACCACCAATAAACCACCAGTAAACCAGAAGTGGCTCTGTGGCTCAAGTGGTAGAGCACTAGCCTTGAGCTGAAGAGCTGAGGGACAACACCCAGGCCCAGAGTTCAAGCCCCATGACTGACCAAAAAAAAAAAAAATCTCAAAATTAAAAAAAATAAGTTAGCTGTGGGTGCTGGCGGCTCACACCTGTAATCCTAGCTAATTAGGAGGCTTAGGATCATGATTTGAAGCCAGCCCAAGCAGGAAAGTCCATGAGACAGTTAGCTCTAATAAACTACTCAGAAAAAGCCAAAAATAGAGCTCAGTGGTAGATCACTAGCCTTGAGCAAAAAGAAGCTCAGGGTCAGCGCATAGGCCCTGAGTTCATGCCCTAGGACTGGCACAAAAAGAAAAAAAACATGCCGGCGGTTCACACCTGTAATCCTAGCTACTCAGGAGGCTGAGATCTGAGGATCACAGTTCGAAGCCAGCCCAGGCAGAAAAGTCCATTAGACTCTTTTTTTTTTTGGGGGGTCCAGTCGTGGGGCCTGAACTCTGGGCCCGGGCGCTGTCCCTCACCTCTTCAGCTCAAGGCTAGCACTCTACCACTTGAGCCACAGCGCCACTTCCGGCTCTTTTCTTTTTTCTTATGTGGTGCTGAGGAATCGAACCCAGGGCCTCATGCATGCAAGGCAAATGCTCTACCACTGAGCCACCTTCCCAGCCCCTAGACTCTTATCTCCAATAAATTATCCAAAAAAAGGTGGAAGTGGCACTGTGGCTCAAGTGGTAGAGGGCTAGCCTTAAGCACAAAGAGGCTCAGGGACAGTGCCCAGGCCTTAACTTCAAGCCCAGGACTGCCAAAAATGAAAAAGAAAAAAAAAAAGCCAGAAGTAGAGCTACGGCTCAAATGGTAGAGCACTAGCCTTTAGCCAAAAATCTCAGGGATAGCACTTGGGCTCTTAGTTCAAGCCCGAGGATTGGCAGTAGCGTGCATGCATGCAAGTGTGCGCACACACACAAATCATCATCATCATCATCATCATCATCATCATCATCTTGAAGTTACTTCATCCAAAAGCACATCATCAAGCCAGGAGACTACTCTGAACATAGACTTGTAAATCTTTGGTTTCTGCAGCTCTGAAAAATCTATATGAAGAAAGGGACCCCAAAAAACCAACAGATCAGTTTACTCTCGACCAACTGTGGCAGATAAAAAATACCATCAAGCTCTTTATAAAAGCAAAAGAATATTAAATCAAAGGTTATATACTGACCCAAAAGGGTCAGCAAAAGGATATTGTACAGAATGATTTACTTATTTTCTTTTACCTTCACCAATTTGCCATTAATTTCTGGAAGTTCCCCAAGTTTCCTATTGTCTAGCATTCGGATTTCATAAGACTGTCCTAGAAGAAAAAGGAGTCATATATTATGTCTCACAAATTAACTTACCTAGATTCAGAAAGGATGAAATTCAGTTGGCTGAATATACAAGATAACATCATTAGTATTGGTAACAATAACTATACACCTTTATAAGACATTAGGTACTACGTTAAACACACACACACACACACACACACAGACACACACACACACACACACACACACATACACAGATTATTTTATACACTAGATACAACTTCCTAATTCCTAAGTTGTTACCAATTCTCTTTTTTGTTTTTTGGTCAGTCCTGGGACTTGAACTCAGGGCCTGGACACTGTCCCTGAGCTTCTTTTGCTCAAGGCTAGCACTCTACCACTTGAGCCACAGTGCCACTTCCAGCTTTTTCTGTTTATGTGGTACTGAGGAATCAAACCCAAAGCTTCATACATGCTAGGCAAGCACTCTACCACTAAGCCACATTCCCAGCCCCTTAATCCTATTTTTACAAGTAAGAAATTGAAACAAAGATTTAAAATGAAGCTGGGTGCTGGTGGCTCATGCCTGTAATCCTAGCTACTCAAAAGGCTGAGAGCTGATGATCATGGTTCGAAGCCCAGGCAGGAAAGTCCATGAGATTCCTATCTACATTTAACCACCAGAAAACCAGAAATGGCACTGTAGCTCAAGTGGTAGAGTGCAAACCTTGAGCAAAAAGAGCTCAGAGAAAGCACCCAGGCCCTGAGTTCAAGCCCCACCACTGACAAAAAAAAGTTAAAATGACTTATCCAACGCCACATAACTGGCAAACAATAGAGCTAGGGTTTAACACTTCTCAGCCAATAACCAAATGGTAAACATAAATTAAAAAGAAGGAAATGTGAATTAAGAATGTTCAAGGAGGGGCTGGGAAGGTGGCTCAGTGGTAGAGCACTTGCCTTGCATGTGTGAGGCCCTGGGTTCGATTCCCCAGCACCACATAAACAAAAAGAAAAAAAAAAGCCGGAAGTGGGGCTATGGCTCAAGTGGTAGAGCCTTGAGCTGAAAAGCTGAGGGACAGCGCCCAGGCCCAGAGTTCAGGCCCCACGACCGGACTCCAAAAAAAAAAAAGAATGTTCAAGGAGATATAAATATAATACATAAATATATAAATGTATTATTAATGATTCAGGCACTGGTGGCTCATGCCTGTAATCCTAGCTGTTCAAGAGACTGATATCTAAGGATTACAATTTGATGCTAGCCTAAGCAGGAAAGTTTATGAGACTCTTATCTCCAATACACTACAAAAAACTGGAAATTGAGTTGTGGTTCAAGTGGTAGAGTGCTATTCTTGAGCAAAGGAAGCTCAGGGACAGTGGCAAGGCCCTGCATTCAAGCCTAGGACCAGCATTTAAAAAAAAAAAAAGTGATATTAAAACTCAAATCTCTGAAGTAAGTTTGACAGGACATATGGAAAAATATACTCTCTACTCTCTTTCCTCTAAATGTCCCTAGTAAAATAGCCTGAATTCACCAGGTCTACAATATTAACAAGAGAGGAAACATTTCACCTTGATTGAGATATGTCAGAGTCTCATCATGGAGTTTCACAGCTGGAGACGTGGCAGCACAAAGCACATACTGAAAAGGTAGAATTTCATTCTCATTATCAGGAGGCAAACTTGACTCTTCTTGCTTAAAAATGGGCAATGCAAGGACATCACTGAAAGAAAACAAATGGCTTTCATTAATATCTGACAATGGGCAAAGCAGACTTATTGTTAAAAATTTAACTAATCGGGCTGGGAAGGTGGCTCAGTGGTAGATTGCTTGCCTTGCATGCATGAGGCCCTGGGTTCCATTCCCCAGCACCGCATAAGCAGAAAAAGCTAGAAGTGACGCTGTGGCTCAAGTGGTAGAGCTGAGGGACAGCACCCAGGCCCAGAGTTCAGGCCCCACGACCAAAAAAAAAAAAAAATTAAAACTACAATGAACTAATCTTGCATTGGAAAGCAATAAACATCATGCACTTTGGCAGAGCATCATCCAACCCATTTAGTTCTGCTATGACAGCCCTCTGACCACAAAAAATGTAGGTAAGGACAAATATTATCTGTTAACTACCTATTTATCCATATAGTATTCTAGGAGTCATACATAGGGTTTCTGAAAGGACTCTGAAAATTATATGCAGTGATCCAAAATGTAAATCCAGGATACTCAGGGCTATCATCTGACTATGGTTTATGTTCCCACAAAGATACAAACATTATATGCTGGCCTGAAGCTTGGTCCTCATTATGGCAGTGTTGAGGCATAGAACCTTTAGGAGATGAGGCTGAGTGGAGGTCATGGGACATTGCTCTCAAAAAGAAATAATAAAAGGTAGGGGGTAATAGCGGTTTCAAGAGATCAGATTAGCTCTTGATAGAATGGCCTGTTATAAAGGAGACTAACATCTCCCCTGCATTTCCCTTTTAAATGCATTTCTCAATAGACATGATAATACATGCCTGCAATGCCAGCATTAGGGGAAGCTGAGACAGGAGGACTGCTTTAGCCTGGGAGTTCAGGGCCAGCCTGGACAACATAGCAAGACCCTGTCTCTTAGAAAACAATAAAAGAAAGCCAGGCACTGGTGTCTCATGCCTGTACTCCTACTCAGGAGGTTGAGATCTGAGGACCACAGTTTGAAGCCAGTTCAGGCAAGAAAGTCTCTTATCACCAATTAACCAGCAAAAAGCAAAAATGGAGCCATGTCTCAAGCGGTAGAGCACTAGCCTTGAGCACAAAAGCTCAGGGACAGTGTCCAGGCCCTAAGTACAAGCCCTAAGTACCAGCACAAAAAGTAAAGAGACAAAACAAAATGATATGTCCAACAGAAGTATACTGGATACATAAATAACAACAAAAAAAAGCATTATCATCACCTTCACTATGTGATGTCATTCACCAAGTGGCCTTCACTAGGGCTGAGTGGATGCCAGTGTCCTTTGCTTGAATCTCCAGCATTTATTCATTAGCTAGCACTGACTATTTTATTAAAGCTATACAATATATTCAGTGTGTTTGTTCTAAGACAACTATGGTGACTCTATAAGAACATTAGTAGATCTACTATATAGACTAGGTCAATTTTTATAATTCCTTAGCAGCCATAAGAAAGCCAGGCAGAGTGGCACAAGTCTGTAATTCCATCTACAAGGAGCTGAGGCAGAATGATTGCATGAAAAACAGCAAAACCTTGTCTCAATAAATAGAATAAGCCACAAGAAAAGGGTAGCTGAGTGCCAGTGGCTTATACTTGTAACCCTAGCTATTTGGTTTTTTTGTTTGTTTTTGTTTTTTTGGTCGGTTGTGGGGCTTGAACTCTGAGCTTGGGAGTTCTCCCTGCGCTCTTCAGTGCCACTTCCGGTTTTCTAGTGGTTTATTGGAGATAAGAGTCTCACGGACTTTCCTGCCTGCGCTGGCTTTGAACCGTGATCCTCAGATCTCAGCCTCCTGAGTAGCTAGGATGTGAGCCACTGGTGCCCGGCTAACCCTAGCTATTTGGGAGAGAGATCGAAAGGACAGAGGTTTGAGGCCACTCTGGGCAAGAAACCTATGAGACTCCATCTCAATCAATAGATGAACATAGTGGACCACACCTGTCATCCAGTTACACTGGAAAGATTGGATGGATCATAGTTCCAAGCCAGCCCAGTCCCCACCACCCAACAAAAAAAAGAGTTCAAAGATCCCATCTCAAGAGAAAAAGCTGGCATGGTGCCTGAACCTGTTTTCTCAGCTACCTCAGAAACACTAAAAAGGACCATGGTTCAGGTCAGCCTGAACAAAAAGTGAGAACCTATCTCAAAATTAACCAGAGCAAAGCCGGGCGCCGGTGGCTCTCGCCTGTAATCCTAGCTATTGAGGAGGCTGAAATCTGAGGATCGTGGTTCAAAGCCAGCCCAGGCAGAAAAGTCCGTGAGACTCTTTTCTCCAATTAACCAATAGAAAACCAGAAGTGGTGCTGTGGCTCAAGTGGTAGAGCGCTCCCCTTGAGCTGAAGAGCCCAGAGTTCAATCCCCATGTCCGACCAAAAAAAAAACAACAACTAACCAGAGCAAAGGTACTGGAGATATGACTTAAGTGGTAGAGCACCTGCCTTTTAAGTATAAAGCCTCAGTTCAAACTCTAGTACTACCCCCCCAAAGAAAAATTAAGAACAAATTAGTAACAAATGAGCATATATTTCAAAGTGACATTCTGTGAAATATCACTAACAATTAGATGAGCCTTTAGTTCCTTCTTCCAAGAAAAATCTTCTAATGTCTATCATTCTGTATTAACTTGCATACAAAAGACACATAACCAAAGAATTCTAGAATGGCTCTGCTAGCCATTCTGATGTACTAGAGGAAGACGAATACAGAACTAGGCCAAAGTCCTATGTTTCAGTCCCTGGAAACTTGGATGAATCTTTGGCAAGCTCCCATAAAATCTTTATTCCTTCATGTGCAAAGTGAGAACCATCTTTTGCAATCAAGAACAAATACATAGCTGGGCACTGGTGGCTCACACCTATAATCCTAGCTACTCAGGAGGCTGAGATCTGAGGATCAGTTTGAAACCAGTCCGGGCAGGAAAGTCAATTACAGTCTTATCTCCAGAAAACTGGAAGTGACACTGTAACTCAAAGTGGTAGAGTGCTGGCCTTGAGCAAAAAAGAAGCTCAGGGATAGCACTCAGGACCTGAGTTAAAGCCCCAGTCCCAGCAAAAAAAAAAAAACAAAAAAAACAAAAAAAAACTCATGAGAAAGTATCTATGGGACCATAAAATGTTTATGGTGAAGGAGTAACAAAAAATTTTATCAAGTGGCAAGAATGACCAGGAACTTCTCCTGGATCTTGATCTGTATGTACTTTACTTCCAATTTTTAAAAATGCACAAAATTTAAGAAATGCACCAAATTACAGGTTATCTCTAGTTATCTCAAGACAAGTCATAAACTAAGTCAGGTGCCAGTGGCTCACAACTGTAATCGTAGCTACTCAGAAGACTGAAATCTGAGGATCGTTTGAAGCCAAGTCCAGGTAGAGAAGACCATGAGACTCTCTATCTCCAATTAGCCACCAAAGAGTTGGAAGCACAGGTGTGGCTCAAGTAGTAGAGCACCAGCCTTGAGTGAAAGGGTAAGGGATAATGCTCTGTTCCCGAGTTCAAGCCCCACCGCCAACACGCGCGCACACACACACACACACACACACACACAGTACTCCTAAAATAAAATGCATTTTAATTTCCTTTGAAGACAACTAAAATTAAAAAGACTGACAACCCAAATGGTAAGGAATTGTAGCAACTAGACTTGAACACTTGCCAATGGAAATGAAAATGACAGTAACTTTAGAAAAGAGAGTGGCTAGTTTTTGTTGTTTTGGGGTTTTTTTTAAAATAAAGTCAGCCATACAATTCACTCATGTGTATTTATTCATAAAAACATGAGTTCACTCAAAGACTTGAACATGAATGTTAACAGCTTTAGAATAGAAAGTAGAAAGAACTCATTATGTTTACAATTAAGAGAATAGATGCACAAAATGTGCTCATAATCCTGGGATGAACACAACCCAACAAAACAAAAGAATGCAACAGCATGGATGAATCTTAAAGATTTAATACTGAACAACAACACAAAAGACACTAAGAATGCATAAGGTATAATTCAATTTACATGACATTCTCAAACAAGCAAACCTAAAGAGAACAATGGTTTCTTGACCAGGCAGGTTCTGACTTGTTCTATGCTATGACAGGTATGTGCTAGATGGTTTTAAGTATACAAATTTGTGCTTTCAATATGAACACATAAAGAGTATGTAAAAAAAACTGAGAAGATGGAAACTTGATGGAGATTTAAATGACTTTTAAAGTAAAGTGACAGGTACAAAAAGGTTAGGTTATTTTGTTTACTTTGAATTTGTTTGAAATGTTTATGATAAATAGTTAAGGTCTAGGTTTTTGTTTTTAAAGGAAAACATAGCAATTTGGCTTAGTGGAGTCTGTTCACCTAGCATGTGTGAAGTCCTTAGTTCAAGCCTCAGAATCATGACAAAAACAAAAAGATTCACATTTGCTGGACAGGGTACAACACACCTGTAATCACAGTACTTAGGGTAAGACAAGGATAGCAAATTTAAGCTTCTAGTGGCTAAAAATATTTCAAGACCCTGACTCAAAAAGAAATAAACAAAAAAGGAATACAGTCAAATCTTTTCATTTTTAAATATTACACTTGAGGGGCTGGGAAGGTGGCTCAATGGTAGAGCGCTTGTCTTGCATGCATGAGGCCCTGGGTTCGATTCCCCAGCACCACATAACCAAAAAGGAAAAAAAAAAAACAGAAGTGGCGCTGTGGCTGAAGAGGTAGAGCGCTAGCCTTGAGCCGAAGAGCTGAGGGACAGCACCGAGGCCCCACGACCAGACCCAAAAAATAAAACAAACAAGCAAACAAATAAATAAATATTATATTTGTAACATGAAAGAGATAAAAAGTAATGTTTTGCTATAAACAGACGAAAAACAAGTTCCTTATAAGCACCTGTATTCCTCAGTAGCAAATATACACAGTATACTTGGTAATTATATATAGGCAAAAACCCTTCTGATAAGAAACTAAAGACAACCCTTCCTTTTTTTATTGTTTGGCAGTGCTAGGAATAGAAATAGATGAACCTTTT